CCTCTGTATCTCTGCCAGTGAGCAGAGTCTCCTCTTTAAATCAGCTTAATGTAACTTTGTAATCTTCTTGTAGACGGGACAAGCCCTTGGAATCGAAGTACACGACGATCACACAGTGAAGTGGCTGTCAAGGAAAATAGGAGTTGTTTGGGAACAATTTTCACTACTCTTTATTATTACTTTTGTATATCATAATATGTTTGTTCATTTTTGAGTATGTGCAGAAAGACACGTGACAAAGATAAATATATCATATTATGACCAAACCTAACGTCCTGCAGGTGTACTCAAACTTTGGACAATCACAATAATTGTCAAACTGACTTCAGGTGATTTGATCAGGAGCATCAGCGAGCGATTCCAGTGGCAGTGACACCATGTTTTTGCTCCCTCCTAGATCCCTGCCAGATAGTTCACAGTTTTGCTCCCGAGGGTCGGATTTGGAAACACCGTTGCAGAGAATTATAAATGGCTGTTTCATGATGGGGATGTGCCAGGGTTAATCTAAGTACACACATGCACACATACGTGGTCACACACATGCACACATACGTGCTCACACGCATGTATGCACACACACGCTAGCGGGTCAAATTTGCTCAATATGTGATGGATGGATTTTTTGCCCTTCATGAACGGTCTCACACTGAAACTGAATTTTACATTTTAAAATTGTTCTCAATGTTGCGATATAGATATATACAGTACTCACAGAACGACTTGGGATGTTGCTTAACTCTGTAAAAATGTTGCTAATTTATTGGTTTCATAACAAAAGTCTATTGACATGCAATGTTTTTCATATCTGCACAGACATTTTTAGTTTACTGAGTGACAATATTTTGACTGACTCATTCAGTTCTGTTCTTGCTATGAATTGCAAGTCTAGTCATTGGCTCCCAAAGGGACACTAAACACAAATGTTTGGTGTTTTATTATTTTTTTATTATTATTGTTATTGCAAAGGTGTTACTAATTAAACAGCACCCAATGAGACTGTCAATTACCTGCTTAACTCAGAAGTACTCTTGGGTTTCAATTTATTACTACTTGAAAAACAGAAAAACATTTCGGACTTATACAGGTATATACCGTACGTGTGTGTGTGTGTGTCTATATATATATATATATATATATATATAAAATCTACACACACACACGTACAGTGTTCACACAATATATATACATAAAATATATAAACAAAGCATCTAATTAAAATGACAGGTGATTTTAAGCTGACAAGCACTGTTCACTGATCATGATAAATGTGATCTAATGACTATGCAAGGTTTTTAATATATACCTGATCCTCAGACATGGTTATTTGGGCTGAATATTAGCCGACAAGATAGCATTTTTGTTTCCTTTTTCACACAAGGTAATACTGCCTCAACTCCAGCCGTCCTAAGACAAGGGCCTGATGATGATGGAGTACTGTCCCCATTAGAGGCTAATCTGAAAAATGCCTCGAGCGTGTATAGAATCAACCCAGAGCGTGAACAGAATAAACCCAGAGCGTGTACAGAATAAACCCAGAATGTGTACAGAATAAACCCGGAGCGTGAATAAAATAAACCCGGAGCATGTACAGAATCAACCCAGAGCATGTACAGAATAAACCTGGAATGTGTACAGAATATACCCAGAGCGTGAATAGAATAAACCCGGAGTGTGTACAGAATAAACCCGGAGTGTGTACAGAATAAACCCGGAGCGTGTACAGAATCAACCCAGAGCATGTACAGAATAAACCTGGAATGTGTACAGAATATATCCAGAGCGTGAATAGAATAAACCCGGAGTGTGTACAGAATAAACCCGGAGTGTGTACAGAATTAACCCGGAGCGTGTACAAAAAAAACCTGGAATGTATAGAGAATAAACCCGGAGCGTGTACAGAATAAACCTGGAGCGTGTACAGAATAAACCCGGAGCGTGTACAGAATAAATCTGGAGCGTGTACATAATTTGCCTGGGCGCATGTAAAGGGTGATCATTCCGGAAAATGGAGGCTGCAGGTCAGGAGGCGAGCTATACTCCTCAGCAGGAGGAGCAGAGGCTGCAGAGGAACCGTGTGTTCGTAACGGAGGTCCCACTGGAGCCGGGTGTTCGTAATGGAGGTCCTGTTGGAGCCGGGTGTTCGTAACTGAGGTCCCGTTGGAGCCGGGTGTTCGTAACTGAGGTCCCGTTGGAGCTGGGTGTTCGTAACNACTGAGGTCCCGTTGGAGCTGGGTGTTCGTAACTGAGGTCCCGTTGGAGCCGGGTGTTCGTAACTGAGGTCCCGTTGGAGCTGGGTGTTCGTAACGGAGGTCCCGTTGGAGCTGGGTGTTCGTAACGGAGGTCCCGTTGGAGCTGGGTGTTCGTAACGGAGGTCCCACTGGAGCCGGGTGTTCGTAACGGAGGTCCCATTGATCACGTGACTTGTTCCTCTGAGTGTGTTACCCGGATAATAATGGCTGCCCGCGGATCATATTCTTCACCAGCACGACGCACTCGCTACCTGCTGGTGAGACAATAGCCTGGCTCTCGAAATGGAAATCCCATCTTTCAGAGTGCGGAGCCGCCATGGTAGCTGCGAGAACGCTGCCAGCTCTCGGGGGTGGACTGCGTGGCAGAGTCACAGCTTTAAGCAAAGCCCAGAGTCTATGCTTCCTGTTAACAAAGCCAAGCATGTCCAAACAAACAATGAAGTCTTTTTTCATTTTTTTTTTAACAAATTGTATGTGGATCATAACCTAAAAAAACAGAAAGCTAGTGGAACACCTGATTAATAGATTACTTGCACACATTCCTACTAGTAGAGTATAAAATTCATATTAAATTTCAGCCATCTGTCCTTTGACCACTTATCCGGTTGTGGAGAGCCGGGAGCCAATCACAGACAGCAGAGCTCATCGATCACATGACACATGCACATGGCACAAAGTATGGGCCACCTGGAGACACCTATTCACTGAATTCCGTGTCTCTGAGCTTCCAGAACACCCAGGGGAAACCCCGACAACCAACAATGGATATGTTTGGGCGGTTTCTCACAAATTCCATTATTACTACTTTTATATGCTGAATACTAAGAAAACATCTTACTCTAAGAATACTTTTATATGCGGAATACTAAGAAAACACCTTACTCTAAGAATACTTTTATATGCTGAATACTAATTAGTCACATACTACTAGAATACTTTTATATACTGAATACTAAGAAAATACCTTACTCTAAAAATACTTTTATATGCTGAACACTAAGAAACCACATTACTCTAAGAATATTTGTATATGCTGAATACTAAGAAAACACCTTACTCTAAAAATACTTGATGAAAACTCACTGCATTATTACTTTACCGAACGCTAAAGCCCAGCCTTCCTCTTATTGTTTATTACTGCCTTCTCAGCTTCGTCTCACAGCACAGTGAAGGTCACTCCCCCAGTGCAGGTCTGCTTGAAACTTTGCTACTTTCATTAGAATTGCAGATGGAGTGGGGAAAGGATTATAAATAATTTGTGTATCTGTCTGCTTCCTCACAAGCGTCCCTTTAAGCCCTTTTTAAATGTCCGTTATGTCAATACGCCGCGGTTTTTAAAAGTGTTAATGCTTCCAGATTGTTGGGATATGGAGGAGGTGCAGAGACTTTGAGGCCAGCCGAGGCTGGGGAATCAGAGGGGGCAGAGTGGCTGAAATCTTTATCTGTCATCTGCTCTCCCCCCCCCCCCCCCCAGACTGCCTTGGCCACACAGGTCTGAATGGCTATTTGTCTCCTTTAAATGGGAGAATCCCCCTCTCCCAGTCAGCTTTAGGTTGAAGGGGAGGGGGAATTGATTATTTTTGGCTCTTGGTTTAGCAGGGGGGGCAGTTTAAACAAACCAGTTTGAGCACATGGCTCACTGGCCAAAGCACGGATTTGGTCATCTGCCGTCACTCTGTCCAGGGATGAATGATACACGCAGAGTCCACACAGCTGGCCGATTAGCCAAGATCAAATAAATGTTACCTGTCTCCCAGAGCTGTTTCGTACCTGGTAATTATATGGACAGCTTGTTAAGTGGTGATCTGTCACTTTGGGGGTCAACTAAAATTCTTCATGATGTCTAAACCCAAAAAAGGAGAACTCGAAAAAAAATATGTGTGATAAGTGTGTGTGTGTGTGTTTGTGTGTGTGTGTGTTTGTGTGTGGTCCAGGTATACCTTACCTTGTGAGGATCAAATGTCCCCACAACGTGATGAATACCCGTTTTTCTTTTTACCTTGTGGAGACCATTTTAAAAAGCTGTGACTGTAATGAAAAAAACTAAAAATGCAAAAACACTTGCATTTTGTTTGGTTACTTATGGTTATGGTTAGGGCTGGATAGGGGTTAAGGTTGTCATAGTTAGCGTTAGCATTTTTCCCATAGAAATTAGTCAGCGGTCCCAAAAAAAAGGATGATTACACAACTGTGTGTGTGTGTTGAACCAGTGCTGGAGTGGACAAACCATGCCTGAAACAGACAGCACAGAAGCAGGTAGATGTATTCACCATGTTTCTCAGTAAAAAGATACTTTCACAGAGCTAATGTAGCAAAAGCAGCAGCTCACTTAGTACCAGATTACTGGTAACACATCACGTAATTCCCAAAGATTAACCAAGAGTTGAACATTTATCCAGGAGACAGGTTCGGAATGGCGAACGTAGACTTTACTTAAGGCACAATGTATGAAGCATGCAGGTCACATGGTTTGCATTCAATTTTATTTATAGCACATTAAATTTGTAAGTACAGACGCTCCTCTACTTATGAATGAGTTACGCTTCGAACGGCCGTTCGTAACTTGAAATGTTCGTAAGTAGGATTTTAGGGGTATACACAAGTACAAAGAACTTGGATGCTGGGAGTACGCACGCTACGCTGCTGCGCGGCGGGAGTAGCGGCCAGAAGGCGTACGAGGCGGAATTGGTGCGCAGAAAAAAAAAATTGATGTTGCGGACAGGAAACGGGAGCCCAAGGAACACAATTTGGACTTACAGTCCTCTTCGTTCGAATGTCTGAAAGTTTGTAAGATGGAAGTTCGTAAACAGAGGAGCGTCTGTATAAAAATTCCAGAACTGCCACAGCCGGTAAAATTAAAAGCAAAGTTTGACAGAAGGAATTAACTTTAAATGTATAAATGCCCCCTTAACTCCTTCGACATGCCGATATTCAACTTTCACCTCATTTGCCTGGACAGAAGGCTTTTCCAAATGAGCAAACAGCAATAAGAGCGGACGGAATGGACCAGGAGCGGAGGATTAATTCAGCGTTAGACCCCTTACTTGGAACTGATTTAATCTTCCACCTGTGGTTGTGTATCAGCAGTCACTGTGAAATGCACTGCGAGACTGGTGCTGAAATAGCAGTTCATCATTCCACAGGCTCTGTAAAACATAAACACAAGGAAGGATTTCAATTAGACGGCCACATGGACCTGACCACCTTAAACAAATGCGGGTATGGCCATTGCCCTCCCTCTATTCGTTTTTATTTGGTCTTTCTGCCTATTCCAGATAAAACATCCCTGCGCAGTGAGAACATGGTGAGGCCCAAAGTTGCAAGAATCGATGAAGAAGATGAATCCACACTATGACTTACAATGAGAAAATGATGGAAGGTACGGTCTTCCTACAGTACGTGACATTTATTTGTGAGGTACAACTGCTTCTCTTAAATCAGAAACAGCAATAAAGATATTGGAGCAGAATTTTAAATATTTACATAGCAAGATTCACTTTGATTTCGCGAATTAATTGCCTGTTTTAAATTCCTTTCAGCTTCATAATTACGGCGGTGACTGGAAATGAACTGTTTAGTCATGCATTAAAACGGCCGAGAAATATGTTAGAGCATTAGTCTTTAATGCAAAAGTGAGAAGATGGTCGAAATAAAAGAGAAATCAACACTGCAGAACCTAACAGATGGTTATAGAAAAAAAATCAGGCAAAAGGCTTTCAGAGTCCATGAAATCTGTGAGAATTTACCTTGAAGGAGCATCTACATACAACACACACAGATATACTTTATGCAATTCTTTACACTATATACCCTGGTTGAGCCACTTTGAGGTCACATTTTTCATATGGGATATCATTTAATGTGTATGCTGTAGGCCAAACAAGGTACTGCCTCTATTGTTAACATTTAATTGTGAAAAAAGTAACTTCGAAATAACTAATTGCTAAAATGTCATTGCCGTTTAAAAATCCGTTTTCTTCTTTGGGAAAAAGTTGCTGTTGTCAACTTTGCCGTAATTTTGTATCGTCTAACATCCCCGATTAGTTTTTGTCCCCAGCTGCCACTGCGGCAAACAGGTGACACCAGCCAAGAGGGCTGCCTGCTTCCTTATACAAACTCAAATGGATCTTTTTCATTTGATTAGTAGCCTAGAGGCCTGTAGAACCTCCTGACCTAACCCTTATTGAACACCCCACTAATGCTGATTTACTGTCATGTCATTGACGCTCTGTAGAGATAAATACATCTAGCAGCCATCTTGGGAAGGACCTTGCACAGGAAGTGTTACGAGAAAAGCAGCAGGCTGTCTCGGAATGTTAGGGACCGTGTCATTTTCTCTGCGTTTTTTACTTTATTTTATTTTGCTTCATCCTGTTCTCTGGCAGTCAATGGCTTAAGAGAGATTGATATTGGGGGACACAATTGGACTCAACACTGGGGGGGGGGGGCAAAGTCCATAATTATAATATATATTGGGGAGGGACATCACCCCTGGTATATATTATAATTATGGCCTTGATTTAAATACAAAGGTCAGTTTATTGGGGGGTGGGTGAATGTATCCAAATTAAATATTGTTGGGGATACATCCTCCCAGTCCCTATTCCCCTGGTGACAGTACAGGCGAAATGCAGCTCTTTGTGAGACGCAGATGATGGCCAGTTAGCGCTGGCATTCCTTCATTATGAAGCACGCCTAACCTCCCTTAGGAGAAATTCACACTTATTTAGCAAATGTACGTTACAGAAATCAGGGTCAGACGGTCCCTGGAGCAATTGGTGGTCAAGGGCCCAGTGGTGATGTCACTCTGCTGACTCTGGGATTAGAACCGCTGATGTTCCAATCGCAGGGATGAAGTCCTAACCTACATAGCCACTCACAAAGGTCGCACTCGTCACACTGGTCCTTGTTTCACGGGGCCACGGAGCTGACCCGAGATTGCTCTGGGGCCAATTCCTCCCGAAGCGGAGCATCCAGGGACGTCCTGATTTTGCCGGGTTCGACATGTCCCTGGGTCAACAAGGCAAGGGCTTGCTTTTCACTTCTTTAACCAATCACAGTCTTCATTGTATGACATCACCAAATTTGTCCATTCTTTTTTTTCTGACTTTCAAACCGAGCCTTCAAGCCTCATTATTATTATTTTTATCATTATTATGCAATAAAGGCATGTGCTTATATTGCTCGGTACAGCCTTTGAAGATAAGCAATGTTCCTTTGTTTCGTATCTATGACATGTCCCTTAACAAAAGCCATACACAATTAAACTGGTACTTTATAAATCTGCTCACCTTGCCGGATAACAGAAAACACTGGTTTTAATTAATGTGTGATGTCGTACGATGAAAACTGTGGTTGGTTAAAGTGAAACACAAGCCCCACCCTCGTTGAACCAGGGACATGTTGCGATCAGGATGTAGAAGCATCCAGCACGTCTCGGACCAACAGGACTTTGCTCTCCGCTGCAGAAAGGGGGCTGCGTCTTCTCCGAGGATGCCCCTCCACACTGACTCAGTCCCAGGTCCTTACTGAGTGAGTCCACAACAGATGGGCTATATTTAGCACAGTTCGCTAATTAATAACGCAGACCTGCAGAGGCATGAATTTTGCATGAGAGGGGATCCCAAGCTTGTTATAATATTGGGCGTTTCTCATCAGTCTGAGCTATGCTGTTCTCGTCGTTCTTTATAACCTGCATGATGATGGTTTACAAAGGTAAACATCCTGGATAAAATACGTGTTAATTGCTCTTTTTGTGTTAATACAGAAACTTAAATTCCGATATTGTTCATTGCAGAAGATGCACACTGTGAATTTGCATATTGGAAACAACTATAAATAAACTCTTAAATAACAACTTGCTTTTACGAAATTGCATTCCAAGTGACTCAACTTGCTATTCTTCCAGTAAGCCTGGGGGTATGAACGGCCCAGTTCGAAAAACCGCTGATGTAAAGGAGAGAAAAGTGTGGATGTCAGGTAGTCTGGGGAGAAACACACAGAAATATCTCCTAGCGGGGAATCCCGTGCTAAAAGCAGCCCAAACTGGGCATCTCCTAATGTGCCACCATCATTCTCAGCCGTGGGGATCAGGAAAGCCAGGGGGGGCAGTTAGTCCCTATTAGCTATTACACTGCAGGCATGTACAGAGTGGGGGGGCAGTTAGTCCCTATTAGCTATTACACTGCAGGCATGTACAGAGTGGGGGGGCAGTGAGTCCCTATTAGCTATTACACTGCAGGCATGTACAGAGTGGGGGGCAGTGAGTCCCTATTAGCTATTACACTGCAGGCATGCACAAGTAGAGCAAGAGCAAAAAAAAAAAAAAAAAGCAGGCATGACTCATGCTGGTCTGACGTGCTCCCAGGCTGGGGGGCTATTTGGAGAAGCTTTTATTCCCCAAGACGATTGTTTAATATCCATTCAGTGGGGCAACAACACGGCATCGCTTAGATTCACTTTCCCCAGGAATAATTCCAACATTAAACGGCACGTCGCTGCAGAGAGCCGCTTCACGGAGACCCTGTCCAGCCGATCCAGCCGACTCTCGGCAGACGTTACGCTGCCAACGGGAAGAGGAGAAGGGGAGGCTCGACTGGGAGTGCACACGAGAAAAATTAATAGCAATGGAAAATATCCCACAAATGCTTGACGTCCATCCTCACATTTGTGAAATTGGTGCAGTGGATTCCTGCGCAGATCAGCCCTCATAATCTGCATTTCCTGGAAAAATTCATCTCCCAAAGATCTGCTGTCTTCTGACTCAAGTAAGGATGTGTAGCTCAATGGGTTGGAGGTTGCAGGGTCAAACCCTTGGGTTGGTAGAGTCATTTCACTGTTGGGCTCCTGAGTAAGGTCCTTAACCTCAACTGCTTCAGAGACAGGTAGGCACCGACGGGCAGAGGCAGGCACCGCCGGGCACAGGTAGGCACCGACGGGCACAGGTAGGCACCGGCGGGCACAGGTAGGCACTGACGGGCACAGGCAGGCACCGCCGGGCAGAGGCAGGCACCGATGGGCACAGGCACCGACGGGCACAGGTAGGCACTGACGGGCACAGGTAGGAACCGACGGGCACAGGCAGGCACTGACGGGCACAGGTAGGCAGCAATGCCTTTGCCCTTGTGGCATCCGCCAGAACCAGTAGTGCTCGTGGTGCCAGGTGGATCTCCCAAGCCTTCCTGTCAGAGGTCGCTGCCATGGTATCAGCTAAAACCTGGCTGGACTTTGTGGCCTCGGTTCCGGTGTTTAGGTGTGAGATACCGCTTTCAGCTCTGTGAATATTCAACTGGTACGACCAGCTGCCACAGCTGAGGACCGAACCTGAATGAAACAACCTATGAAATACTCTCACATCATTATGAATCTATTTTTGTTATAGATGAAGGCTATGGGTGTATAAATAAAATGTTATACAAAGCAGTGCTTCATTTTATCTTCCGCGGGATTCAAATGGCTCAGGGCCAGCGAGTGAGCAGGCTCACGGGCCGAAGGCCGTTGCTGGGTTCAGATCCCAGGAAAGGCACTGCTGTATAGTAGCCTTGAGCAAAATGATTAACCTAGTGGGCTGCCGTAAACACCCAGCTGTACAAATGGGCAGGAGCTTATATATAGACGGAGGCCACCAGGATAAAAGTGTCAGCTAAACGGTGAAATGATTAAAGAAGCGCTGCTTCATGTTTCCATTCACCGCGCTTGAACCCTTTCAGCATCACTGAGTGTGCTGTTCCTCTGCCTAGAGAATATTCCAGAATCTCACAAAATAAAAACGCATCTGCTAATCTGGCAACGATAACAGAGCAGAGAGAGCAAAAGACTGTCGCTCTAATTTGGATTTTGTCTCTTCATTTTTGCCATCATGAAATCAGCCACCAACGGTACCAATACTGGTGTGAAGCTCCTATGATGTCGGCATACAAGCTCCGGGTCTCATGTTTTACACTGGACCTGCGGATGTGAGGCAGCTTCACTGTGAAAAACATAACAAACAGGCAATCAGGCATTGGCATGACCTTTGACCTGCTGGCCGGGGGTGTTCCCCATGTGCTACTTGCTGTTATGTGTTTTAACTACTCAGCATGCCTACCAGCCTGACTGATGACCTTGAAATGTCCTTTGTGTGTGTGTGTGTGTGTGTGTGTGTGTGTGTGGGGGGGTGTGTGTGTGGGGGGGGGGGGGGGGTATGTTTGTAGGGTGAGTACTGGGGCACCGGAACTTTAACTGGATGAGAGCTCGTGGGTAAAGAAAGATGTGTCAACTTTCCCAGAAACCCCTGCAAGAAAGTGATTTGTTAAGCCTATTATTATTATTATTATTAGAATGACCAACAATTAAAAAATACTTCAGAGGGATGGTGAAGGATGTACTTTCCCTGAACGCTACTGTGTCAGTCCTAATGCCTTTGATTAACGAGGCACCTCACATTTGCATACCCTTTTGGAAACATCCGGGCTCCACAGTAATCCCTTTAATAATTAGCTGCTTGGATTTCCACGGCCCACGACATCGCCGTTTCTTGGGCGAAGCGTGACGAGCGTCAGACCCGAGACAAAACACCACCAAAAATCTACGGATTTTCAAAAGCGGCCGGCTTTATACTTTCCCTGTCATTAAAATGTGCAAAATTCAGAAACTGTTAATTGCTGCAATTCTTCAGTGGAGAGACACACGCGCACACGCACACACACAAAGCACTCCGATAACTTTCCAAATATAGCTGCTTTTAATTGCAATCTACCAGATGGAGCGACGCAGCTCAGCCGCTAGCTGAAGACCCCTCTACCTGGGGCGCGATAAATAAATACTGGTGCAAAAGAGCAGCTTCTCAAGAAGTACAAAGTGCTTTTAACCCTCAGAGGCGTCTTTTCTCCTAAGCAAGTGGGACATCTTTAAGGCGATAGGAAATCAAAGCCAGGTCCTATTCGGAAATGCCTCTGGCGTTGTCTGCTAGCTCTTCCCGTCACGGTGGAGGTGCATTTGTCAGATGCACGTCCTGAGTCTCTCCCTCAGAGGGAGGTATCCATTTCTTTCAGAAGCGGGAGGCCGTGACATCCGTCTGGCCGAGTCTGGAGGGCCCCACGCTGACCTGGAGAAGCACAGGAACCAACTCCTAGACGCCGCGCATCTGAGGAGGCATTTGCAGAAGAATTCTGTTGAAATATCACTGGAGTTCAACTGTCAGCCCCATTAAACACCTGGCCTTCCTTGACTGCCTCCTTACCAAAATTGCTGCCTGCACGGAATTTCAGCCGGAAATACTTAGCTGTCCATTAAGATACTAAAAGTTTTGTTCAGTCACTTATGACTGACCATCCACAATGGCCCCATGTAATTTGATACTGAAACAATTATATGTGATGGAGAATGACAACCGTCACGCTATTCTAGAGAGAAGGACCATCACATCACGGACACAGCCATCTCCTGCTAACATACAGGCAGCCATGGTGAACATGTTTACCCATGAAACTTCCTTTTATATATATATATATAATTTTTTTTTTTTTCATATTTCAAGATCTGATTTAATTTAACAGGTGTGTAGCACCACATTTTTTTATGAGAAGAAAGTTCAGACAAGATGTATTTTTAGAAAAATAATGATGCTGGAACAGAGCCCCTCTGCAGATAAGAGCGAGAGAGCTATTCCTGTAAAATTCTACAAGACAAACGGAAAGGCTACACCAACTTCTGAAAAATGCTTCTAGGTTTTTCCTTCAGTTCCTTTTTCTGTTTATTAGTATAACATGCCTTATGTACTAATTAGTTATGAATATAATTAATCCATCAAAGAAAACTTCATAGCAGTTTTCAGAGGATTACAAAGAACGTTGGACCGTTGAAAGACATAGGAAAGACAAACCTAAAGTGGTCTTTCTTTTGACAAGAACTTGGTCATGTGGAAGATGTCCTTTCAGTGACACGTGAAATGGATCGCAAAGAACGATCAACTACTTGTCTTAGGAAAGAAATAAGACAGAAAATCGCTGGGGCAGCCATACAGGCTCGTTACCCGCTGGTCCAGTTAAACCAGCACACTATCGCGGCCTGCAAAGGTTTTTAACTTCCATTTTGAACGGTAACTCAAGATGAGACAAGCAAATGTTCGTTATTTCATTCTTATGCAGCAAATTATTTCCTGTGCATATGTATTCGACATATATGTAATGTCGGGGAAAACAAATATAGCAAATGCTATTTAATTAAAATTAGATCAGTTAAATAGCCATACGTTACACTGAATAGAAGAGAGAAAGACACAGGTGTCCCTTCCCAAGGAAAAAGTTTAGGCATATTTATGACTTTCGCATTTTAAAGAGCTGTGATGAATCTTTAACCGTTACTTGATAGGAGCAGTAGAATTTGTGTGTGTTCACGTCTTTATTTTAGGCCCCGTTCATCGTCTGCTGGGGAACCAGTTTCGAGAAGCAACCGGCACTCATCTCGCAAGTAAACCAAAAGGGATCATGAAAAAAGGCACGTCAAAACAGTAGTGAAACTGTATACATGTCTTCCCAGTTGAAGCAGCACAAGAGTAAATACTCCTCCTCCCCCCCCCAAAAAAAAAGAAAAAAATACTTCACCTCAAAAAGAAATTGCGGGGGTAGGAGGATGAGTCACTCATCCAACACGTCAGCCCCTCAGCTCCTGCAGAAAGTAGGAATCTATTAAAAAATAATTTCAACAAAGAAATTCGAGCAAAAGTGATACGAGCAAAATATTTTAACTGGGGTGAGGCTTGTGTCTATAATACAATGAAATCTGTTTTATTTTAGAGCGCCGCAGTTTGCAGTGAATCTGGCTCACTGGTTATGAAGGATCTGACAATTTAGGGATGTAGGTAAATTTCAAACTTTTGTTCATTTGGATACTCACGTACATCCGATTTTTCTCGCCTTGATGGACATTTGCCCCCCACCACCCCCCTCCCCAACTCCCTGTCTTATCTATCCCTCTCGGTGCGTCTCTCTCTCCCTCTTTCTGCGCTCCACTGCGCTCCGCGTCCCGTGGTGTCATTTGCGGCAGTGATGAAAAACAAAAGGAAAGATCGGCTTAAAAAAAAAAAGAGGGAATGACGTCAGACGGACCCAGCTGACACCGGTCGCCCTGCCTCCTCCGATCGCGGCTTCACTCCGCAAAATCCACTCCTCTCGGCGCCTTAAAACTAACTCCGATCATCGCGGTGAGGGAAGACGGCAATCGCCGCGCACTTACATCCACAACAGACCAGGCAGTGAAATGCAGACCATTACTCTACCGCCTGGTATTATATGCTCCTTTTAGTTTTATTTTACATATATGTGATTGCACTGATCGTAATTTCAGGATTGATTTTTCATCTGGAAGATTTTTATGGGAACGGAAGGAGCGCTGCCTGCTCGCCGCTGTCCTGGGTCGCTGGGCTGCGTCTGACTGTACAGCCCCAGCCGACATTTCACCAGGTGAAGCGATGATCCGTCACGCAAAATGAGGTGGAGTCGCAATGCGAACAAGGTGCGGGGCACTTTGCACCTACGGCGTCGCGCCCTGTGATAACAAGACGGCGACGGAGTCAAACGTCCACTTGTTCAAGTTCAAGATCCTTAAACCCGCCAGAAAAATCGTCGTTTCTATAGGTTAATAATGCTGGTATCGTAGAGAAGACCAGCACTTGATGACTGTTTTTTATTGTTATTATTTATTTGGTCGCACGTTGCACAACAAGAAAACTGTACAAAGACAAGTTGCATCAGCGATGACACGGAAAAATTACGGCATGAATTAACACGGTTGATTTTTTTTTATATGCAAACGTTTATGCACTTAGTGGTGTCCTTTCGCGATTAAAGCAAATCCTGAAGGTATTAAAGGCATCATAGCTGGTTTGCTGTCCGTCGTTAAATCTAAGAAAAATGTAACAGTCAAGATGGAGCACACGATCGACACATGGTCTTTGGAATAAATTTACATTTACTGTCATACCAGATTGGTAGTTCACTGAAAAGCAATACCTTTATCGTTAATCATGGGAGACAAGCGTTTTTCGCAAAGTATTGATGTCAGCCGCCAAATTAATAAACGCTTCTTTTTTATTCTGTAAGAAAATGACCCGCGATTTCGCCGTTTCGTGTCTGCTTGACACACCCCAAGGATACACAGAGCTCGTCCTTGGTCCGGCATGGCAAGTAAACAGCTCAAAACAAACTCTCACCGTTGACATATAAGGCAGATCGGATCGAGAAGAGCTGGGAAACGATGGAATTGTCCGAAGTGCGTTGCTCGAGCGCAAGCGAGGAGCTCTACACCATTAACAAAACTCCCAGCAGCAACAGCAGCACCAGACCCAAGCGGCTGCTGTGGCAAAATGCCGTGAGGCACATCACCGAGCAGCGCTTCATCCACGAGCAGAGCAGCGCAAAGAGCATCACTCCGGAGGAGAGCTACGGGCAGGACCTGCGCAAGCAGTCGGCGGGGAGGACGTCAGTCAGCGACCGGCACAACAACGGGGGGACCAAAGTGTTTCCCGAAAGGGCCAGCAGTGATCTGGGATTCCTCCAAATCGACTGCGCCCCCAGCAATTCCGACTTTTTCCTGAACTGGGGATACACGTACCGAGGTGTCATCTTCCCCACTTTGCGCAATTCTTTCAAATCGCGGGACCTGGAGCGCCTGTACCAGCGCTATTTTCTGGGTCAAAGGCGCAAGTCGGTGGTGGTCATGAACATCTTGGACGTGGTGACGAAGCTGACTCTGCTCATCCTTCACCTGACTTTAGCTTCTGCACCAATGGACCACATAAAAGGCATGCTCCTGGGCTTCTTCACCGGCATCGAGGTGGTGATCTGTGCCTTAGTGATAGTGCGCAAAGACACGACCTCACACAGCTATTTGCAATACAGCGGCGTGGTGACCTGGGTGGCGATGGCCACGCAAATTTTGGCAGCCGGGCTGGGTTACGGACTACTCGGAGATGGTATCGGATACGTGCTTTTCACGCTCTTTGCCACTTACAGTATGCTTCCATTGCCACTTACCTGGGCAATTCTAGCTGGATTTGTCACGTCGGCTCTTCACATTGTTGTTCAGCTGATAATCCCCCAAAGTGCACAAATATCTACAAATCAGGTATGTCGAACCCGTTTTTTTTAGCCCCCGCTGACAGACTGGTTTTTTTTGGACGGTAATAATGAAACCCGTGACGTCGATAGACGAGGAAAAGGTGAGAAAATGTGATGTACGGGAGCGATGGAGTGCACAACGCGCTTGTTCGACAATATCCCAACCATAATAAATCATACGCAACCGTATTTGTGAGGGTAAATTTCGACTAACAGTTTGCCCTTAGAAGATGTTTTTCATGCACAAGAAACCCAACCGAGAGGTGTCGTCTTAAACCTATTACTATTTCATGATGATGATCTGCTGTTATTTTATGCATTATTTAAAATAGAATGTTATATGATGTTACTACACTGACTAGTAAAAATGTGGGAAATATAGAAAAGTATTAGATGAGTATATGCAACTCATTATGAATGCTGTTAACCAAAGCCAGCGTGTCTAAGCGCTGTCCACGTGAAAGGTGCTGAAAAGTCTTTTCCTCACTCCTTGTTTGACTCCCCCGATTCCGATAAATGCGCAGCGCCCCCCATCGGCAGCTTTATTAAGCGCTGGGCGTAGCTGCGCAAAGGACGGGGTCCAGATTCGGGGTCCGGACGGGAACGTTTTCCTCGCCGCTCCGGGCGCAGTTGAATGGTCTTCTGAAATAAACGCAATTGCTCTAACTGGTGTATATTTCTTGTACATTCCGTATTTATTATTTAAAAGTGTTAATGTGCCCCGTCTTTGCAACCGGGGAGATGAGAACTTCAGTCTGGGAGTGAGCTCACATTCCACACTTTGGTTATTTCGAGTGAAGTAGGTGGAGGGCGGGTCTTTTGCATAACGATTGGCTGTAGATGCACCTGAGGGCACTGATCTAAGACCTATACTAAGGTAATAACCGTGTATATATATATGGCAGTCGTATCAACTAGAGGGTAATAATATAGTCCTATAAAAAATCCCACCAAAGCGGCTGCACGTTGCCTCGTTTTGATCTGTTTTTTTTATTTATTTTTAGTTATTTTTCTTCGAGGCTTGGAGGTTTTTTTTTCAGTGATAAATGGTGCCTGTATTTGAAAAACCCCTCAGGGATCCCTCAGTGCGGTGCTGCTCTAAGACAAGACAGGAGACAAGATGTGGCAGCATGAATGAAGGCGACGCTGCCGCTTAGGAAGCGCGACGCCGCGGCTCGTCCGCCGTGCAGATTCGGGGCTTCGGTTACCTGCAGTTTTAACGCCGGATATAAAGGGCCGGATCATGCCGGAGTCAGATGCGGAGCGGCGTGTCCATTCTGCCAACATCTGGAAGAATCCGCCTAAAATGAGTCACCAGCTGCATCACCGCGCCCCTGCCTTGTGGGTGGAGGAGGTATAGCTGGTCGATACGGGCATTCTGACAGGGCAGGACTGCCAGAAGGGGGGGGGGGGGGGGGGGGGGGGGGGGCAATCGCTTCCATCCAAACGGTTGGAGACAGGCGCCTGGGGCTTTCTCAAGTCAGGCGGCATTCCTGCAGGCGGACTCGTTAACGGAGCGGATCAGGAAAACCCAGGATAGCCTCGCTATGGGATTCACAACGATGGGGAAGGGCGGGGGGATGCGATCGAGGGGAGTAGCGTGCTGGTATAAGGTCCCCGTAATGTGAGAATATCCCACTAAAAATGTGCTCAAGGTCACAGATAAGAGACTTTGGTCTATTAAACATCCAATACGATAAATACAATTTAGTCTCGAGGAAATGCTGGATTTAACTGATAAAAGGATGGTTTCAACTTTAAATACAAACATTATAATATTCATTATATCCATTATAGGGTAATGAAGAATATTTTAAACATAAATAGGCCTATATACATGCAGCATAAGAATCTATAATTATTTAAAAGGTAATTTGGCAACAGCAGATCCGATGCTAGGAATGTTCTCTCTCATCTGATGTTATTGCAGTGATGTTTATTAGATGTTAGCTGTGCCCTTGAGATACTGAAAGGTGTTTGGAAAAAATCCACAGAACCCCAAAAAGGTTCATTATTGTATAGATATTTCCAGCTGTGTAATAAATGCCCCCCCGGATCCCAAATTCAATCTGAGTTTTGAAATTGGTTTTGTGTCGTATAAAATGGTTCACTTATTCTGGTGCACATTGTGCTAATATTAGCATTAACTGCATCATGTATTATACAGTATAAACTTGTGAGCTGGAGAGAATGCTAAATTAGCAATAGGACTGTTATGGCGTCTCCCTGCATTTGTCCTCCTGCATTTTTTAATCACTTCCATCTGCGGTCCTTGCAGCCATGCGACGCACGTGGTTCTGCTCGGCGCAAGTCTGGCTGGGTCCAGCAGGTGCCGTTTGCAGGGTGATTTATGTTCAGACGCAAATAAAATTCAGGGTCAATCCCGGATCAGGCCCCCCAGCGAAAACCCCGCGTTGTTGCTGTGATTTTCCCAAAAGCAAGTACTTTCAGCTGCACCCGTTTGCTCTCCCCAGGACGAGACCGCATCCCGGGTCCATTCAATGTGCTCCACTGGCTCTCCGAGCGAATTTCTGCAAGATACCGTGCTACAGTAATTTGGTGACCTTGCCCCATTTGTCTAGGCCATTGGGCGCAGTTTAATTGCTGTCAAATGGATGAGGCCACTGTGTAATTATGGATATTGGTGGGAGGCTATGTACAAAAGCTCCAGATGGTGGGAGCACCCCAGTGCAGCCCCTCCCCTGCCTCGATTGGACACGCGGCGGTGCCTTAAGAGGCTCGCTGATCAACACTCGGGGGGATTCAGCTCCAGTACCTCCTGGTTCCTAACTCAGGACAACACTTCAGAGATCTGCTAATTACCTTTCCCCCACCGGGAAGTGATTCCTGAAGGACAAAGCATTTTCAC